TGATACATATTCATACAATGCTGAAGAGATTGAACTTTGTGCAATGCTAATACTTCCTCTCCTAGAAATGAAACAGCTATCCATTAAACAGTTGACTAACTTTGCACAGTGCACTAAGCCATAATAGCTATCTTTGCCCAACATGTATATCCTTGGTTAATTTAACTATGATTTGTTCACTTAATCCAGTTGCCTTGGTCTGCATAAGACACTGTAGCATAAGCTAACCATATTGGCTATATCCACAAAACATAAAAGGCTAAAGTGTAGTTTAAAACATAGTCAATGAAGCTTGCTTAATTGATGTCCTAGCATTTTATGGGAACACAGCTAATTGTGGTTCATTCAATAAACTCTGGTTGAGCAAGATAGCTTAATGTAATGTATGAATCCAGTCAATGTCACAACACAAAGTGATGTAAGTTGTGTTGATGATGATGATGATGCTATCCGTTCAATCGTGTCCAATTCTCAGCAATTCTATGGAACAGCTCTCTCCACATTTCTGATCTTGTACGGCTTCTTTCAGTTGTTTTATGCACTGGTTGATGTCAGCTTTGATGGTGTCTAGCCACTGTGTTTTTTGGTGGCCTCGTTTCCTTTTACCGCTGACCATTCTGGGCATAACTGCCTTTTCCAGTGAGTTTGATTGCATGACATGGCTGAAATAAGTAAGGCAGAATTTTGTGATTTTGCCTTCCAGAGATATGTCTGGTTTTATACCCTCCAGAACTTGCTTGTTTGTCACCTGTGCTGTCCAAGGAATGCACAGGAGCCTTCTCCAGCACCACAGCTCGAACGAGTCAATTTTCCTCCTGTTTAGTTTTTTCATGGTCCAACTTTCGCAACTGTAGGTAGCTATGGGAAACACAATAGCGTATACTAATCTGCATTTAGTTCCAGGCTGATGTCCTTGCTTTGCTCATCATTGCTGTGCGACCTAGTGAGATTCAATGCTTTATTTCTTGACTGCATTTACTGTTTTGATTAATCTGCGATCCTAGGAAAGTGAATTCTTGCACCCATTCGATCTCTTCACCACCAATTGCTATTTTGACATTTCCATTCCTTGCAGTGGTCATGAGCTTGGTCTTTTTGATGTTCAAGAAGAGGCCAAATTTCTCACTTTCTTTTTTAATCCTTTTGATCAGATGTTTCAGGCCTTCTTTGATTTCTGAGAGGAGAGTTGTATCATCAGCATATCGAAGATTGTTGATATTCCTTCCTGAAATCTTTATTCCAATCTTTTGTTTGTGTTAGCTTTTTACAAATGTGTGTGAAACTCATTACTAAAGATAAATAAGTAATTAACTTTTTAAAAATGTAGACCTTAAAGATGTGTAAAGGCTGGGCTTTTAATCTCAGATGACAATAAAGTGAATGGATCTGGAAAAAAATGGGAGATGCAACTTGTTAAAATGCCTGAGTTTTAGAGGCACTCTGTGCTCTCCTCTTTTTTGTGCTATCAAATGATTGAATCCATGAAAAAACACAGGATCAAGAAAGATTTTAAGTGTATTTAGAGAGAACAGGAAATAGCCTGGATTCCTCTCTCTGGCTGGAATTTAATTCAGCAGCCTAGATCCAGAGAAGAGACCTTACAAAGAAAAGTATAGCTCCACCAGGAAACGTTGCCTCTGAAGATCCACCTAGACCAGCAAGCCACAATACATCTTCTGTTCCCTTTTCTGGGAGAGAGAGAAACATGACTGGATGACTTGAAATTGGAGAGGGAGATGCTGGAAATCGGGTCTCTTGGAAGGGAGACAAATGGGAAAAGAGGAATCTAGGAAAAGCCACAGGAAAAGTGAGGCTGGTGGTTAGAGATACATTTGCTGGCTGGAGAATCCCTGTATACAGATGTCTCCTTGTTACACGAGCAGGCAGCAGCAACCAAGTATCAAACTGCAGACAAATTTAAATGACTGGTATCATATCCAGAATTAGAAACAGAAAAAGACATGGGTTTTTACAGCAAAGCATATTTTAGATTTGTAGCTTCCACAAACCTCCATTACAGTCATCCACAATGCCAAGTCTAGCCTATCAGCTACATATGTTCTGTTTACTGGACATGCTATACCACTGCAGATTGTGGAAGAGCGTGTGTGTGCAGCACCATCTTACCTCCCATAGCAAATGCTTACATTAACCTAAGGCTACCCGATCTGGATTGCAAAACTCAGGAGCACCACTAAATGGCAAGCAAAGGCTTGATTTTCTGTATCTCTTTGCAGTAGTTGTCTGGATTTTTGTTACACAGAACTCTGTAGATCGTGTGAATCTGCAAGTGATCAACACTGTAAAATTGCTTTGCAGAAACTGGAGTTTGAACCAGATGCTGCAGGCTTACAAAACATACATGGCTACAGGTCAGTTTCCATCTCTGGTCAATGAGACAGCCAGGATAGAGATTAGTTAGTGTGTGCTTGTTGATTCTTTTCAGTACTTTAGTGTATCATGGAAGCACTCAGAGATTGGATTCACACTGTACTTAGTGCAATGTCATGTTTAACCATGGTTTGTTCAACTAGAATTAACTGGTTTCATACGAGAAGATATGCCATAAGCTGTGTTTTAAAAACTTGTGTTTAGAGTTTCACATGCACAGTAATCAAAGCCAGATAAATTATAATGTGGGTTAATGCAATGTGTGAACCTAGATCTGTGTGCAGATTGGGGCTGCAGGACTAGAAAGCTACTAGATAGCAGCAGAGATATAGAAAATTCTAGTCTGTAACTTGCATCTAGCAGTTGTCTGATATTTGCAGCCCAGAGCGGGTAGTCCTAACATAAAAGTTAATTCATACAAGACACTTAAGTAATTTAGTACGTTAGTGGAATCCATTTTGAGTTTCTGCAAACCAGCTTTTATTTATTTATTTATTTATTTATTTATTTAATTTATTTATTTATTTACGTATTTATTTAGTAGACTTGTCCACGCGCATCTCCCCACTTTTATAACCTAGGTTTGTCGTCAGTAATAAAATCTCATCTACCCAAACTTCCAAGAGTGGCCATTTTAGATTCATACAATACTGTAACCAACAAACCTTAGTTAAGGAGATATAATGAGGTATAAGATAGTAGCATGAGTGTGCTTGTTAAACAAATTGGGAAACAAATGGAAAAATTCAGCCTTACAATTTGCGATTTCATGGATCCATGGGATATTGAAAAAAAAAAAAGAAACAATGCAGCCCTTGGCCACGATAAATATTATCTATTGCTCTGCATGTGGTGAGAACCCAGCTAATTAAGGTTTATTCAGTCAACTATGGTTAAATGAGACATACCTTAGCTTACAGAGTAAACCAGGTCAGTAAATTATGAGCTGTATTAGTTTGCCATCATTTCTGAAGTGTTCATAAGCCAGTATTTGCCAGGGACAATGTAAAGAACATAAGAATAGCTTTGCTGGATCAGGCCAAGGCCCATCCTAGTCCAGCATTTTATTTCTCATGTGCCTCTGGGGCACTCACAAGTGACGTGGAGACACACGCCTCTCCTACTGTTGTTCCTCTGCAATTGATATTGGAAGTATATTGCCCCCAACTCAGAGGTAACGTAACATGAAGTCTTCAACCTAGCAGCCCTTGAAAGACCTCCTCTCCCTGAATTTATCCAATCCCCTTTCAACCCAGCCAAATTAGTGGCCAGTACCTCCACATCTTGTGGCAATGAATTCCACAGTTAAAGATGATAGCAGAATGGGTCATAGAGAGAGGAGTGAGAGAGCAAAAGGTTCAGTGTGCAGAGCTCAACAGAATTTTGAAACCACAGGGGAACAGAAGGGATAACCCCAAAGGCTGGGTGTGTGCAACATGTAAGCGCACAACATGGTGGATGAGTGTGTGGGTCAGTGTGTCCTTATGATCATAGCCAGGACTGTCATGGGATAACCAAATCCTGAATAGCAAAACCAGGAAACCATTTTCAAGGCTAATTTCTGATGGTGAGAAAAATGTCCATGAAGCAATGAAGGGAGCCAAGGGTAGCCTTGCCTGTGCTTTCATATCATGGTGTCTGGACGGGGAAGAGCTGCCTTTCCATGCTAATGTACCTCCTGGCTTGGCAAAAGCCATGTTCTGTGCCTTTACATCATTTAGACTGACAACAGCTACGGTGGTTTGCAAGCATGTTATGTGAGTTTTCTTTCCTCATCCTGTGTAGAGCAGACAAAGTCTTACAAAGATTTCAGGAAAATGGGGGCAGGGGAAGGAGTATTTTGTTTTTTTTTTGTTTTTGCTAGTGTTTTAAATAAGCACTGACCTCTATTCCTCCTCAGATTAGAGAAGTAAGTTTAGTTTAAAACATACACAGCCAGATGTGGCTGCAATCCATAGAATCCATAAAGGCCATAAAATCTCTATCAGGCTCTGTTACCATTGTTGTTATTCTACTGTTTGATAGTAGGAGCTAGTCTTGGGGAAAACAGATCAAAACTGACAACAGGAGTTGAAAACATTTGAGAATTGTGAAATTTCGTTGAAAAACTTGAGAAACAGAAATTCCAAGAGGTTCCAGTCCTGATGTAGACACAATTAAAAGTACTTGGTAAACAAGTGGAGATCAGATGTTTGTTGTTTGAACCTTACTTGGAGGAAAAAAAACATGCATGTTATGAAAACTGCATGACTGCTAGCTTTTAGACTGAGAGAGATAAAGGAAGGACATAACCTTTAGAGGTGACTGGAAAGTGCAGAAAGGAAAAAAGGATAAATTCCTGAATTGAAAGTATGGGATTGGAAATAAATGAACACACCCCATATGGATATTTGTGTACACAGAGGACACCAATGTGGTATAGTGGTTAAAGTGCTGGACTAGGAGTGGGGAAACCCAGGTTCTAGACCTCCCTTGGGCACAAAAGCTGGCTGGATAACGTTGGGCCAGTCACACCCTTAGACTGGGAAGCTGAAAAACATATACCTACTAACCCACATTGGACCACCATGGTGGATTATGGTCCATAACCTTCAATGAAGAGACCTTCATCCTGCAGTGGATTGATTCGGGCTAATAATAGTAATAATATGCACAGACACGCACAACATTCAAATCTGCAGTTCTTTTACATACTACCAGAGATCAAAGTCTGCCTTTAGCCCTACTCAAGACCTAAAAAAAAAGACTTCTTGAGCGTGTACTGTACAGGATAGAGAAAGGAAGGGGGGGGAACCCTCAAAGTAAGCCGACTTCAAAACGAGCTGATTTTTTTTCCAACGGCAGCTGTTAGCCCAACCCTCCCATAGTGCGAGGAAATAAATTGCCAACACCTCCTTTTTTCAGACTTTTTGTCAATATCCTCCCGGATAGGAAGGGGGAAAAACCCAGTACTCTCCTCCTCGGGGAGGCGGTAAGAGCCAATAGATATTCATGGCTGTGTGTGGCTAATGAAATCCCATTTCTATCCAGTTATAAGAAAGAAAAGAAAAGGCCCGAAGAGCAGGGACTGAAATCTGCTTGCAAGCACTCTGCTCTCAACGCCTGGCGCTGCAGTACGAAAAAGCCAACCCACTCAGCGAGGAGTCGGTGTGGAGAGAGCGCGGGAGGAGGAGGAGGAGGAAGCGAGGGGAGTGGGAGTGTGGAGGACTTAGCAGACGCTCCAACGTGGATAAGCTTCGAGCTTTCTGATACATTCCTGCCTGGCCAGGGCGACGCTTCCTGCGAGAGCTGTGCCGACTTGTTGCAAAGATCTGTCTTAGAAAGCAGCGAAATCAATCCACTGGGTTCCTCGTCTTCCCCCACCCCCGATCCTTCCCCTTCGCGGCTCAAGCGACGTTCGAGCTGGTCGAATCCACTTCCTTTCTGAAGGAGGTCGGGGCAATTTGATGGAGACTTCAAGCAGCCTGGCGTTGGGGGGGCGATCGCGGGGGGATTTTGGAGGGGACTGAAGAAGGGAGGGGTGGCAGTGCAGACATGCAGAGAGCCAGCGTGATGGGGATGCCCAGTCCGGAACCCAGTGGATCATATTCCCAGCAGTTCAAAGCCATGAGGTTCTCCTATCACATCGAAGGGGGAGCGACTACTTCGCCCCAAATCCGAGCTGGTAAGCGCGAGAGGACTGGGCGGGAGGGGGTTTCTTGAGGCGAGGGCTTATGTTCTTTGGGTAACAAATGAAGAAGCAGTTGCTCCTTAGCGCCGGGCGAAGGGTCGTAGCAGAATAAGGCTTGGTTTCGATACTCCTCTCTAGCGAAGGGAACGAATGCCTAATGGTTAAAGGAGGGAGCGCCTGCATCCCAGGAGGAGCTCGGCTTTTTCTTTTGGTGCAGTTGGGGGAGCGGGACCCTCTGTTAGAGCGATAAGATTGCAAAAGGCATGGTTTGCTTTGGAAAGAGACATACGTGGAATCTGGTGAAGGTATTTGTGCGCCTGTAATGCAAAAGCCCCAGATAAAAAGCGCTGTGGAATTTCATTGTCGTAATTTGTAGCAGCTTCGAGTTAAAGTAGAATTTTAAAAAATGGGGGGGGGAGCAAAAGCAATGGTGTGCTTAAAATAATCCCATCGCTGTAGATTGTAGGATGAAAAATTAGACATTCCGTTTTAGTCTCCTGCCCCAAAGTGCCTACAGTAGGAATGCAGCTCTTGTTTCTCCTGTGTCCTATTTTCCACCTCTTTTCAGGGTAGTTGTCTTGGCCTTTCATTCTGAAAGCCCCCCCCCTCTTTTTTTTTTTGCAATCCTGCCATTTTGCTTTTCAAATCCTTAAAACTGCAGGCAGCTTTCGGAACAAAGAGACATGGCAGTTAAATTGAAATGGAGGAGGTTCAGAAGAGAGATGTTTGCAGGAATATTAGCTGCAGCACTCTTTAATTTAATCCCAGCGTTTTTTTAAAACTGTTGAGGAAAACACAGAGCTGCTTTGCTTTCAAATGCAATTCTCCATTTATCTCCTGTCTTTCACCCTTGCATAGACACTTTGCTATCACTTCCATAGCCAGGCAATTCAACTTGGTCCTGCTGAATGATCTTGGAGACAACTTGTTGCCACAGTTTCTATAGCTGGAATATATAGATTTGGCCTACTTAAGCTGCATCAGTGGAACTCCTTGCCACTTTCTTCTCAGGCTGTGTTCACATGACATGCTGAATTGTAGAAAGCCAGTCATAGCAGCCATAGTTTAGTGAAGCCTATTATGCCAAGACAGCTGTATGGCTAATTAATGGTTTAGTTTCTCATATGAATCCAGAAAACTGGTTTAATTGAGTAAACCGTGGATTAGCATTCATGTCAACAGATGCAGAAAAACTCACAGCTTTTAACAAAATTGGTACAGAAGGAATTGGTCATAGGTCATATACTGTACAGTATTTTGCTTAACCTGGGATTTTTATGCTATTTCTTCTGGGTCAGGCACCAGACTGCTCCCAATCAAGGTGCAAATGTGCAGGTTGGTGTCTCTTCTCTGCCCACACCTCCATCGCTGTGAAGAATCTCACAGGAGATACTCACACGTTTGAGTCACCCTTGTAAGTTTGATATTCTTAGAAGCATTCTGTGGCCTGAGAAAAGCCGTGAAACACACACACCACCCCAAGTTCTTTTCCTCCACAGTGGCTGAAAAATATGATCTGAGAATAGGATATCTTGTGTCTCTCTCCCCCTTCCTCCCTAACAACTGGGATGGGGAACCTACACCAGCCTTCCTTTAAAAGCATCCTTGATTGTGATACCTGTCTGTTGCTTGGCTTCAGGCAGCATCAGTCCTTCACAGAAATGGTGCTTCCTCCTGGCTAGAACTGAATGAAGGCCTGCAGAGTTGGCTTCAGAGCTCAACCACAAGGGGGGAGATGAAATGGGATATACAGTGGATCCTTTCTGGCCCTGGTTTTCCCTGAGACGGGCAAACCCTTCCCATCTCCACCCCTTTCCTTTGTTGATTCAGACCAGAGTAAGCTTTGTGTGTCTCTCTCTCTTTTTCCTCCCTCTGTGCCTCGGCCAACACCTGGCAAGACTGCAAATACATGGGATGGGTGCTGCCACTGGGCAGAGAAACCAGACAAACCCAACAGCAGCTTTTCATCTTCTTGGAACTTATTTATTTTTAGGATTGTTTTTATGTTGTATTTTAATGAGTTTTTATCTTGTTGTAAACCGCCCAGAGTTGTTTCACGAGATGGGCGGTGACAAATTTGATAAATAAATAAATAAAGCCAACTCAGCTTGGGTTAAGGCCCTGATTCGTTCCTTCCAGTGTCAGAAAGTACACGATCTCTAGTACTGCAACAACAGTGCCTCGTGTATTCTCTCCTTTCCCTATTTGTCTTCCTTCCAGATCATTGTTTAGCCACTAGGCTCTTCTCTAGTCTTTGGGCTGGGGAAGTAACCCAGGAATCATGGCTCTCCACACTCTGGGCTTTGAAATTGTAGATCTTTTCCCTTCACCCTTCAGCAACCAGTGGGCTGAAGACATAAGGCTGCCATAAATAAGATTGTGGTGTTGGTTGCCCTCAGTGATCCGGGCCAGAATTGCTGGGTGGCAGTGCAGTGAGACGAGTTCTACACAGAGATGCCAAGAGAACAGCTGGGGAGAGTAGGGGACTTCTGATGTGCTTCTGTCCCCCCCACCCCGCCCCTCAGGCTCTAGGTATTCTCCACTGTCTCAGGAAGGCTAAAGGGCTGGAATGGTCAAGGAGATCTTAAGCAGGTCTGTTCACTTCAACTGGAAGCCAGCTATTTCTTAAAGACTGCGCCTGTGTGTGTATCTGCTTCCTTTTTGCAATCCAGGTTTTCAGCCACAAAGGAAGCCCTGGTTTGTTGCTTCTAGAAGGGGGTGGCTGACTGGCATGGCTTGGAAGCAAAATGTCTTGCTTAACAGGAAGTGTGTTGGAAATCCTGGCTTCTTTAGGAGGTAGTACAGAGTCTCCCAACCTGGCAGCCTCCAGAAGTGTTTGCTCTCCCAGACCCAGTGGCTACATTGGTGGGAGTGATGAGTGCAGTAGTCGAGCGCTTTGGGCGGCTCTAGGAGCTGATTCCTCAGCTCTGCAAAAAATCAGGAATGTTGTGATCAGAGGAGGGGCGCAGGACTGGCTCTTCATTTGCTGCATGGAGTCGGCAAATTAAGTTGCAGGAAAGTGATTTACAATGGAGAAGGGCCAGATGTATTTGTAATGATTGTTTATAGGCTTTTTTGCATTCCTGCAAGAGCAGCTAGAGTGCTGTTTGACCAGGGGCTAACCATCTTTGTCCCCTGTCTCTGACTCCTTCCCCATTCCAGTATCAGTAGCTGTATTTCTGATCTCCTCCCTTATCCTCCTTCCTTACAAAGCTTTGAGGAACTGCTGGGTTGACATAAAAACAAAGCCACATCCTGGCTCCAGGCAAAGCCACAGGGGGACTATTTGGGGGCCAGAGCTTGGCTTAGGATGAGACCAAAAGGCCCAGGCCTTTTAGCTCCTACCATGGAGATGCCACATGTGATCTGAGGAACTTGAAACTGGTTGGCTCGGAGGCAGGGGAGTATCCAAGGAGTTTCCTGAGTAAAAAGGAAAAGAAAAAAAAAAGACCCAGGTGCTTACCTTGTTGCTCACCTCTAATGCTTTCTCTGATCTTTAAGCAGATTAAAAAAAAAATCAATAGGAAAAGAAAACTAGGTTGGAGCCCTAAAAATAGTCCCACAGTTCATTTAAAAATGCATAGTTTGGTGACAGGAACACCTCAGAGTTTTAAATCAAACAAATATATGTATTTCAGCAGTTCAGCTAATGCCTCATGTAAGTGAACTGAGATGCATCAAGAAATGTGGGATCAAATTTTAATTGAATAGCTTCGAGGCTGAAATCTTGTAGGTACTTGTGGAGAGTATAGGTTAAAGAAGTCTTACTTTTAAAGAAACATAAATAGGATTGTGTGGCAGTGCTACTATCTTTAATTTTAGTTGGGCTCATATAATATGCTAAGCCCAAACCAATCGAAACAAATTTTGGCTTAATGTGTTATGTGAATCTAGCCAATTCTGGTTTATTCAGCGAACCATCTTTAGACAAGCAGTAGCTTAGTATTTGTATGAATCAGGCCATAGTCTTTCTTATACTGTATTATATTAATATAGCTCACTAAACAACCAGTAGCATTTAGTCCCAGAGCTTAACTAAGAGCTTGGCCAATTATAAATCCATATTAAATCTTGCAGTCACATTAGGGGAAGTATTGATTGAATAGTTCCTATGTTTTTTTGAAGCACTGAGAATCCAGCTGCCTCTTTAATCAAGCATTATGGCCTATTGTGTAGCCTGAACCAAAACGGCTGCATTCCAGGATCTGGGAGTAGTACCCTTAATGTGATTTGTTTGATGTTGGCTTCATGTGCTGTGAGAAACTAGCTACTTTTAGTATGGTGAGCAAACTATGATTAGGCCAATCTTGGTCTAGTGTGATATGTAAACTCAATCTGTAAGGCTGTTTTGGGAGATGGCCAGATGGTTTGGGGCACCACTGAGATGGTAGAATGGGAAGCAGGCAGGTCTCGCCTGTGGACTTTGTCCATTTAGGAAGTTCTCTTGCACAGGTCTTGAAATTAATGGGAGCTTCTATTATTTTCAGTGGGGAAGGTGCAGGAGAATTCCTGTAGGACTTTGCTTTGATTGATTAGTGAGAGGGGGTGTTTTTCCACCTTGGAGGCCAAAGCACCTTGAGCTTGTCCAGATGGGTGCCCAGAGGTATTAAGGAACCCTTGGGTAGAAAATGGAGGTTATCTCTGGGAATTGCCGCTGTCTTTCCATGCCTACAGTCTGATCTGGCTGGCCCCACCATTTTTTCCATCCATCTGGGTGAGAAGTGCTATTTTTAGAAAGAGGCCAGGCTGGGGAACTCTGGGGCTGTAGTTCACTGTGTCAGCGGCAGCTGCCAGGTTCAGCATGGGGAGGGGAAAATTTCGGTCTGAGACTTGAGAAAGAGGTTTTCTAGCCTGACAGGGGAAGATTGTGGAGGGGTATACCTTGTTTGCTAACAACAAAGTCCTAGGGCTTGCTGGGTCAGCAAGTAAAATAATTCCTGCTGTAATGTACCAATCCTGATGCCCAGGATGCGTCATGGTGACATTTCATTGGCACTGCAGCCGTGCTGAGACCGTTATCCCAGCTCTTAATGTGGTTGCAAGAATTTGGGGGAGTAACTTTGCCTGAGCTTTCCCCTTTCAAACTGTATGATGTCAGAAGATTAGGGATTGGCAGAAGGAATACTGTAAACGAGATGCATATTTAAGTTGTGCAACTAGCAAATAACTGAAGGTTCAGAAGCAGCCACTGTCTCAGATGGTTATATGGAGAGGTCTTGTCAATGGCTGCTAACCTCACTTAGAAAATCCTTAGTCTATTCCAGGACAGGACTTCCAGAAATGTATAGTTCTTCGCAAGACCTAGCTTCCTTGAGCCACCGTCTGATATTTCACCATGACCCAACAAATGCTATGGTGGGGTATTGTGGGTAATTAAAGTGATGGGTAGCTAACTTGCAGCTGGTTGCTACAGCTAAAGGAAGGGTTCTCAAACCTGGAGCTATCATGGTCTATGTGTTTGTGTGCTTTGCACTCTGCCAAATCCTGCAGTAGGAAAATCCAAGCTATTTAACCAGAATTAAAAATAAGCTACAGGTAATTTTTGCATGTTTAGTAAGAATTAATGGGAAGCTAACTACGAGCTGTTCAAGAATACAATCTGAGCTAAGTCTACAGTTCTATGTCTTGTAAAGACATGGGATGTATGAGGAAGAGGGGAAAAGAGGAAGATAATGGTGGGAAATTATAACTGTTGTTTCTATATAATTGTTTCCAGGATCCAAGTTTGAAAGTAATTCTGGTACTTTGGGGAAAAGACTAGATGAATGGAAGAAATGCAAGATGTAAAACTGGAGACAGGAAGCCAGGGTTTTGGCAAAGATGATATTCCAATACAGAAAAGGGAGTGTTGGTTATGAAAGGATAGTGTACCAACCATACATAACAGAATTGGCACAGTATCCTCAGTTTGTTCATGTAAGTACCACAGACTGCAAGCAAACTGCATCCAAGAGAGGCCAGCTTATACCAATCTGAGCCCCTGAGTGTTATATTGTGTACACCAGTAACCAGTCTCAGGACTTATTGATTGATATAAATCATGCTAAGCCCTATGTGGTTTGTTTGCTTTTGGCTTAATGTGTTGTGCAGACATAGCCAACTGTGATTTATTCAGTTCACCATGGTTAAGTAAACCTTTGTTTAGTGCAGTGTTTCTCAACCTCAGCAATTTTAAGATGCATGGACTTCAACTCCCAGAGTTCCTGAGCCAGCATGCTGGCTGAGGAATTCTGGGAGTTGAAGTCCATGCATCTTAAAGTTGCCAAGGTTGAGAAACTGGTTTAGCGTGATTGGTTTTTCTGTGACAACCCATTATCCCAATCTGACCCTATTCTTCCTCATTAATTGATTTTGTAGATCAGCCCTTTTGGTGTGTGTGACTTTGGGCCAGAAAAAGATAGTTTCATGGTGCCCATTCTGTCACCTGAATTATGAGCTTTATTACTGCACATCTGGGCTTAATATATGTGAGGTGCAACAACAGATCCTGTCTCTGGGATGAGTAAATGGAAGAGACTTTGTGTGTGTACCACATGGCTAGAGTCAGGTGGTACCAGAATTAAAGTAGGTGAGGGTGTGACTCTTCCTCTTGCTGCCTTGTTCTGCCCACATTTCCACATAATTTTAGTGCCCCACTGTTATATTAGGGAGGTCATGGGAACAGCATATCTAGTGTCCCACTAGTGGGGCAGGGCTTCTGCCAAATCCTATGGCCCTTCAGCCACTGGAATTCCAACATAACATTGTGCTTTACACATGTTCTTGACATTAATCTTTTGATACCCTTCTCTCTCCCATTGTTCTCTTCCCTCTGTTATTTTACCCTGCCTCACTGCCCCACAGTAACTGGGATCCTAAATTGCTCTGGTTAGAGATCCATAAACTCTACTAAAAGCAGCTGTGGGCCATGCTGGGGGAATTACATTAAAGCACCAAGTTAGGGAAAAGTAGCATTTCATAGTTTGATCAAGAATGGGGGCTAATGAAATGGGGGTCATTTAGGATATGCTACATTAGGACAGGGGATGGGGGAATGATGACTCTGAAAGATACAGAAGCATAGCCAATCAAACTGGCCAACCAAGATGCTTGCTCTCTAGTGAGCTAGGAAACTGGAATTCCCGCTGTTTCTAATAACTGCTTATATTTTAATCTCTGGGCTTGGATTAAACATTTTTTTTCTTGCCTTC